TGGGAGAGTTTCCACCTTTTCATTTGAAGATTTATACTTTCCTTTCCCAGTTAGTTTTCAACCTACACTGAGGCAATGCTGCTGTACACCCCAAATACCCAATGCAGCTTTGCTATGTATTTGGTAACAATTTGGTTGGTATGTTTTGATTTTTTATTGTAATGGACTATCTGGTACAGCACCTGCTTTGCATGTTGACGTTCCCAGCCAGGTTCAATTCCTCACATCTCCGCAAAGACCCAAGTCTATTTGGGAGCCTGGAGTACCATTACCAGGTAGCATAGACAGCACTGAACTAGTTGTACGTCACCTTCATAGAGTAGCGTAGATGTGTATGTATGTGTATTGTGTATATATACATACTCACACAAGCACACGATGGGTAGGCAGCTATAATCCACAGTAAGCCAACAGGCATCTTTTGAATAATGCTTTCTCCATATCATCAGAGGTCATTTTGGGGGGGATCGCGAGGGATCGCAGTTCCCTTGGGTGAGGTACGGGGGGCGGGGCACATGACGAAGCCCCGCCACCTGCTTCCGGCCGCCCCGCTTCCGGCCCTCATTCAGCCAGGAGGAGGCAGGAGAAGAGGGAGGGTAAGTTGCTTCCTCCCTGCCTCTCCCCACCCCTGCCTGCCTGGGGCCAGGGAGGGCCTTCGCGGGGCTTCCTCGCACTCCCGCCGGCTCTGCAGGTCCACCGCCGGGCCCCTCATGGGGCTCGGCAGTGGAGCTGCAAGGCCGGCGGTGGCGGCCGGGACCGTTGGGGGCGGGGTGTGTGGCCTTATGACACACTTCCGGTGATGTCAGGGGGTGTGGCATATGCTATCATAATGATGATGTGGGATTATGAGGGCTTTTTGCCATTCAAAACATGGAGGGCAGGGATAGGGGCAGGGGACAAAAATGCTTCAGCCTGCTGTGATTCAGGCCTAATCAGGATCTGGCCTGTGTGGCGTTCATACATCACTTTTAAATGGCAGACTGCATGAGGAAGGGGAAGACGGGGGAAAAGATCACTTCTGTCAGCTCCTTCCAATAAGCTCTTCCAGTGAATCCAACCAAATGTAAGGGAGGAACAAAGCGACTCAACTCTTTTGGGCAAAAAATTGCCTAAAGGTAAAGGCTTCCCTTGCTCAAAAGCCAGTCGAATCTGACTCTAGGGGCTCATCTCCGTTTCCAAGCCAAAGAGCCAGCACTGTCCGAAGACTTCGCCGTGGTCATGTGGCCGGCATGACTAAATGCTGAGGCGCATGGAACACTGTTCCCTTCCCATCGAAGTGGTACCTATTTATCTACTTTCCAACTGCTAGGTTGGCAGGAGCTGGGGCCAAAGACGGGAGCTCACTCTGTCACATGGCACTCGGGTTTTGAACTGCCGATCTACAGACCTTCCGGTCTGCAGCTCAGCGCCTTAACCTCTGAGCCACCACAGCCCCTATAAAAAATCGCCTAGGCTAGCCCAATTTCGTCAGATCTCAGAAGCTTAGCAGAGGCAGTCCTGGTCAGTATTTGGTTGGAAGACCCTCCAAGGAACACCAGGGTCACTACATGGAGGCCGAGCAGACAATGGGAAACCACCTCTGAACACCTCTTTCCTTGAAACCCCTACAGCAGGTGTGTCGAACTCATTTGTTATGAGGGCCAGATCTGACATAAATGAGACTTTGTTGGGCTGGGCCATGTGTGTCATAAAATGTAATGCCAGGTAACGGAGATATAAACTTCATAAAGGACACAAACACAAAGGTGTTTTTTTTAACTTAAAATAAAAACATGCTTAAAACATTAGCACTCTTGCAATATTTTATTTAACTGTGTCTGATAACTGACACCTCTTGTTCTGAATTATTGCATCAAAATGTCTCTGCTGTTGCAGTCTTGAGTATGCTGTTCAGGTGTGTACCTGTAAGTGGCAAACCTACAATGACGCAGCAGCAGCAGAACTGGAAGAAGCAGCAGAAGACAGCCAGTTCCACTGCAGGCCTGCTAGAAGCCCTCCGGGGGCCTCATTCGGCCCTCGGGCCGCATGTTTGACACCCCTGCCCTACAGGGTTGTTGTAAATTGGCTGCTGGTAAATAACGAAATAAAGCAAGCAGATTGACAGTACTGCAGAGGAAGAGGTGTGCCCTCCCCGCATCACTGCTCCCTGGCTCCCAGGCACTCCCCGTGGCTGCAAGGCAGGCTGCGGAGGGCCTCTGCGTCCCGGTGGTGCTGGCAGCAGCACAAGAGGGGTGGAAACAGACGCCTTCTACCATGCTGCTCCAAGACAGGTTGCCTTCGCAGCTGGCAGCAGGGCAGGGAACCAGTCCCAGTGAGGAAGCTGGCTAGAAGGCTTGGAGCAATTAGACATTAACCAGCAAAAGGCTTAAGGGACAGTGTATACTGTGTTTTGGTGGTGTGTGTGGCTTGTACAGTGGAGGGCCGAGTTGCCACGCACATGGATTCTTTACCTTTAAATCCACCACTCAAGCTGTTGTGATCTGATGGAACAGGTCAGGCCTGCTTTTGGCCTGGGCGGAAGATACGCCTGCCTGCCTTACCCTCTCCCAGTCCAGCTTGCTCTACAGCACACCTGGAGGTCTGTGCACCACCACACCTAGGGGAAAATATGCAGACGGGGTAAGGAGAGAAGAGGAGCTGTTTTCAGACAGAGAGAAAGGCAGTGAGGGATGCAGCCGGCAGGTTGTAACCTGGGACCTCTGGGTTCTTTGGGTGGCTCCTGTATGCACGTCCCCTAACCCTGACCAGGCTTGCCCGATCCCGTCAGATTTTGGAAACTAAGCAGGGTCGGCCTTCGCTAGTATTTGGATGGGCGACCTCCAAGAAATACTAGGGTCGGTCGTGACGCAGAGCCAGGCAATGGCAGACCAGCTCTGAAATGTCTTTTACCTTAAAAATAAGCCTAGCTCTCCACCTGGTGGTGCATAATACTAAAGAGCTGGAACTTCAGGCTGCCAGACAAGCTTAGGATCTCCCGGTTATTCCACACACGCCATACGATAATTAATTCATTCGAGTTCCCCTGAACTTTGCAACACTTCTCTGCGAGACAGGAAAGCAAGAGATAACCCTAGAAGGCACCGGAACCTGAGCAGCAACCAGCCTCTGGCCAACTGCAGAGGCCAGTAGACTCTCTGCTGGTGGAAGAGAGGAAACTTCAGCAAGTAATGCTTTTTTGGAGGTTTTTTGCTTTCATTCATTCAGGCTTCACAAGCCCCTTATACACAACCACTCAAGGTCCAAGAACACAGCTGTCCTTTCATCCGGTCACTTGACTTAAGCAGATGTCACAAAACCACGCCCGACTGGAAGGCGATGCAGCTCTGAAAATGTTCTCAGCAGTGATGGTATATATAAAAAAAGGCTTCGGTTTCCATTCGCGAGTTGGAGCGATCAGCAGAAGGTCCTGTCCCTTGTGGATCTTTACTGTTTTCCTCTCTCCTGAGCTCAGGAGTACTGTCCAGCCCCAGCACCGTTGACTCCCCAAGGTCACAGGACCCATGTCAAGGACAGCCATGCAGGTGGGGGAACTGCAGTAAGGAGGGAGAAAGGGGCGAGATCACCCTTTCTGCCACTTCTGTCAGCAGAGCACTGTTGACAGGGGGAGGGGGTGGCAGTGGAAGGAGTAATTTTGCCCTCCCTCCCTGCAGTTAAGGTTGGAAGGTGCTGCTGAGGGAGTGAGGAACATCTGTGACCCTTGCACAGATTGCTGGACCCAACCCAGGCATTCAACTGAATGCAACTAAAGAAACTCCAACCTCATGCAGTAATAGAAGTTGCATTTCTATCACAGGATTAGCTTTCAAGGCACAGAACTGCATTTCTATCACAGGATTAGCTTTCAAGGCACGTGCAGAAAAACAGAGCAGCTGTGTCCCCAGGCAGCAAGTTAGGAAATGTGGTGCGCATCTGCGGTGAGGCTGCACCGTTCCCCCTCCCCTTTTCTACTCAGTTCATTGATGGTCACAATTACTGCTGGAGCGTCCAACAATGAACCAGGGTACATTCAGCATCCCGATCCAGTTAAGGAAGCAGGAGTGCTCCCAAGGAAGAAAGATTTCCAGCAGTACCGCCAAAAACCCTTCTTGCATGTTGCTGATTTCCAGTGGGTGGACCTGGTCCTTCTATAGCATTTCCAAGAAGCTATCAACATTCTTCTTTCAAATCTAAAGAGCGAGTTTTTATCCACATAGATGAAGAGCAAAGCTTTCATTTGTTTTTAAACGAAGCTCCAAGGACAGGGGCCATGGCTCAGTGGCGCAGCATCTACTTTATACGCAAAAGGTCCCAAGTTCAGTTCCTGGCATCTCCAGTTTAAAAAAGTAATGTAGAAGGTGATAAGGAAGACCTCTACCGGAGACCAGGCATAATAGACAAATGCTGATCTTGATGGACCAAGGATCTAACAGACTAAGGCAGCTTCCTGTGCCCATTTGCCCTTTCCTTAAGATCATTCTCAATGTTCTTTGTTCATTCTCCTTCATGCTTCTACTCTTCGCTCTACATTTCAGCTGCTACCAAATGTTTGTCATCTTCTGCGCATGGAGCAGGGGTCACTGGGTGTGTGTGCGGGGGAGGTATTTGTGAATTTCCTGGCTTGTGCAGGGGGTTGGACTAGTGGACCCCGGAGATCTCTTCCAACTCTATGATTCTAAATGCAGCCAAAGAAACTATTACTGGTTTTCTTGGTGCCGAGTGGGGCTCATAGCTAAAATTCAAAGAGAAAAGCACTGACTTTCATGTCTCAGTTTAGAACCACGGTATGCGTTATAGACCCAGAATTCAGATCAGCACTATAACCATGGCTGCATGCCATCTGGACTAGCTCAGCCGTAAGGGCACGATCCACCACACAATCCTTTGGCCCAAGGAGACAATGGGAAAAGTTGTCCCCGGAGGGTTTTGCCCTCTTCCCCCTGTGTTCAGCTCACTTCTTAAAGGAGGCCCCACTTCTCGGTCTCCATTCTCCCAAATAAAGACTCAGAGACAGGCTTGCCCAAAAGTATCCTTCACATTTTAATTTAAATCGGTTTACACAAACTCTGCTTGAACTATTCTCAGGGAAAAAAGGGGGGGGAGATAAGGGGGAGGAACGGCCTGTAAAATGCTACCTTGTGTTTCGTAAGAATGAGCCATGCTTAGACATATCCGCACTCCCACCCCTCCACCCCCAAAACTTTAATTTTCCCGGCGGGTGGGCGGGGTGAGAAGACAGCAGCCGAGGGGGAAAAGAAGCTTTTGGCTTCGGCCAACCCCTCCCCCCCCACTCAAGAGAGTCCTGCGAATGAGGAGAGATCTGAGCTTCTGATGAGGGAAGCTGGACGGTGGAGTCTCTCTGCCGCCGCCACCTCCTCCTCCTCTTCCTCCTTCAGCCTCACTCCCGAGGCCGATTGATGATAACCTCGCCCAAGGCCTCCAGCACTTCCCGCTTATAGTCCTCAAAGTCTCCGTCTATCTGGTTGATGGACTGGTCCTCCACCACCCACAGCTGGCAGTTGGTCTCCGTGATAAGGCGGGCGTCATGGCTGACGATAATCACAGCTGGAAGACGGAAAGGGGGGGGCGCAGCGGCAGAGTTTTTGTGGGGCCAGAAAGAGCCTCCCCCGCCTCCCACAGAGCTACATCCACATTCTTGGGGGTGGGGAAGTCACCGTGGGCAGGCCCTGCCTGTCACCTTCTTATTCAGAGGTGCCTTTGTGTATTTATTTATTTAACTTCTTTTATACCCTGCTTTTCTCCCCACTGGGTACTCAGAGCAGTTCACATAGTTCCTCTCCTCCATTTTGTCCCCACAACGACCCCTCTGAGGTCTGTTAAGAGGGTTTGAGTGGCCCATCCCAAAGCCACCCAGCAAGCTTCCATGGCAGAGTGGGAACTTGAACTTGGGTCTCTCGGATCCTAGCCTGACACTGCAGCCGCTACACTCTATATGTGTGTGTGTGGGGGGGGGGGGGGGGGTGGCGTGCCATCAAGTCGCTTACAACTTATGGCAACCCTATGGCCCCTGGGACCTCCAGAAGGCCCTCTCGGTAACAGCCGTGCTCAGGCCAGTCTCCACCCCACCCCACACCACACTGGCAGGGAAGGTCACGCTCTAACCACCTCTCCACACAAGGCAGAATCAAATGGATGTTTTCTTTTCTTTTCTGATCATCATATACAGACTCTTTGGCCAGGATCTAAAGAACTCTTTAGGCACCTGCAAGGCCTTGAATATCCTGGAGTATCCTCCACTGCTTTCCCGCCAGCAGCAGCACCATGCACTGCGCTGAAAATCCTATGAATCCTAGAGGCTGCTTATTCAGCAGTGGGATATGGGATGAGAGGAAGGATAGAATGCCCAGGTCGGGAGCTCGGCTACAGGCACCGCCCTCAAGAGTGCAGCTGTTTCCCCACAAGCGGCAGTCATCCTAGCCCTGCCGCCCCCCCCCTCCTGGGAAAGCTGCAAGAACGAGATCCCGGCTCGTTCAGAACTTCCACCGAGACCAGTATCCTGTCTCCAGAAGTAAACAGCCGGATGCTTTGGGGAAGCCTGCAAGCAAGGCATGAGGGCAACAGCCCTCCACAGTTATCAGTTTCCAGCACCAGATACTCATGGGTATGGTGCCCCTGAACATGGAGTTTCCATTTATGGCTAACAGCTGCCAAGAGCACGCCATGAGCTTGTCTAATTCCCCTTGTAAAGCCATTTCAGGTAGTGCTCATTACTGCATCCTGTGGCAGACAAAATTCTGTATCTCACTTATGCATTAAATACATGGGGTGGGAACGGGCTTCCCAAGTACTTACCGTGATTCGGCGGGGGACACAGACGTGCCGCACCATGCTGTCGCCAGGACGTGACGCCGGGCGACGCTCTGGCAATGGGGCTGGAAACTCAATGGTACCACCGAGTTTTCAGCCCCATTGCCAGAGCGTCGTCTGGCGTCTTTCTGGCAATGGCATGGTGCGTTACAGGGAGGAATGGTCCGGCCAGGGAGCATGTTTCCCTTGCCGGATCGCGGTAAGTACTTGGGAACCCTAGGGGGGAACCTCAGTTCCGCCTATCTCCAATGTACTGCCAATCAACCCAACTCGCAGCCTAGTGCTGCCACCTAGTGGTGAATCAAAAACGAGGCTGGGGTAGAGCAAAGGCGTTCATGGGACAGAGGCAGGCCCACACAGACTATGACAAGGGACACCCAAGTCCAAACCCTCACTCTGCCATGAAGCCGCTAGGTGACTCTGGGCAGTCACTCCCACAGCCTAACCTACCCCATAGGGTTGTTGTGATGATAAAGTGAGGGAGGGGGAAAGGGACCAGGCACACCACCAAGTACTCCTTGGAGGAAGGGTAGGTTGTAAAAACTAAGGTAATAAATATTTAGAAAATTAATGTCCCCAAGAATGCACAGAGTAAGCAGGACATTTTTTTAAAGTACCCCCCCCCCTTTTTGCATCGGGACTTTTTAGTCCCCCCTCGTTTGCTTGCTGCCAGATTTGAGTCCTGGCTAGAAGTTCTATAAAAGCAGACCTATCGGTGTGGCAGTTTAGCACTGGTGGCATGACCACAGGACAACACCTTCAGGGGGCAGAGGAGACCATAGTCCCCAGCAGTGCTTCCTATCCATCCTACTAATGCCCAGCTGTGGCCTGCGCAAGGTTTGAAGAGGGCCTGGTGCCTCCCCCAGACAAATGTCCACCCCAGCTGCTAAGCAGCTGCTTAGTGTTCTTTTGTCGTTGTCGCCCCACCACCACCACCACACTGTACCACAAGGCCACCACTTACCCCCTTTGTATTCATTGATGGCGTCTCCCAAGGCATCGATGGACTCGATATCCAGGTTATTCGTAGGTTCGTCCTAGGCAGGGATGGGGAAGAGGACGCAGGAAAGAGGAGGCGTTCACTTGAGGGGGAAAGAGGAGGCCTCTTGGCTTTTCACTGTTCTACCCAAGTCACAGGGGGTGGGAGGGCTCAGGAGTTGCCCGCCGCACTGGCAAATACCAGGATCCAGAAACCAACACCAGTTCAGATGGGCCCTACCACCCAGAGGCCCCCAGGGGTCATTTCTAGGCAGTTAGGAAAAGAGCCACAGAATGAGGCCTAGTTGTTACTGAGGTGGAAAGTTGCCAACTCTGGCTTAGAACAGTCCTGGAGATTTGGGGATGGAGTCTGGGGAGGGGACCTCAGCAGGGTTTGTGTTTGTTTGTTCCTATCAAATGTTGCAGCCAACTGATGACAAGGCGAAAGACGCTCAGAGGTGGTTTGCCATTGCCTGCCTCTGCGTAGCAGCCCTGATACGTCTTGGGGGTCTCCCATCCAAATAACTCCGGGGCTGACTCGGCTTAGCTTCCGAGATCTGATGAGATCTGGGCTACCCAGGTCAGCAGGACCAGCAGGGCATAATGCCACAGAATCCCACTCCCGAAAGCTCCAGTTTTATCCAGAGGAGCAGATCTCTATCACCCGGAGATCACTTTGACTTCCGGGAGACCTCCAGGCCCCACCGGGAGGTTGGCAAACCGAGCTATGTCGCTTCAGACGGCCCGTGGGCTTCGAATGACTGACGGCTCCTCCGCACAAAAATATATCTGGCACATACAGAAGAGCTGTAAGCCCTTTCTTCCCTCTGACGTATTGTCCTCTAAGCTGTGGAGTCTTGTGAGCAAAAATTCTACTTTGTGAGCTACTGGCATTAAAGTTGTGAGTGAGCGGTTTGGCTACTGCATAAATTAGTTTGCTCTGGAGCCACCCTTCCTGAGCTAAGGCAAGAATCTGTGAGCCGGAGGCTAAAAAACTGTGAGCTAGCTCACACTAACTCAGCTTAGAGGGAACACTGCCTCTAAGTATAGGAATCTTTTTTTTTTTTTTGGATGAAGCACTTCACCACACAAGCTGTTCCGAAAGAACCTGCCTGCAGAATTAACACCTTTTGTAGACAAACAAACAAAACATTCATTCACTTCATTTCTACTCAAAGGGGGATCCAAAAGTGGTTTATGTCGTTCTCCTCTCCTCCACTCTGTCCTCACAGCAGGGACGGCTGACAGCGTGTGACGGACCCAAGGCCAGCCAGCAACTTTCTGTGACACAGCGGGGATCTGAACCTGGATCTTGAACCACTAACACTCTGCCTGGCTCTCAACAAAAGAGCCCCCGTGGAGGGTCCCCACTTAACAGATGCGAGGTCTGGCTGGGACAGCTGTAGAGGAGACCGAACGGGGGTGCTCGCCGACAGCCCCAAAGCCCCCCCCGCCCCCAAGCCAAAAACCTGATCAAGTTTTCTGGCGCAAGGAGAAAGGGAGCTCAGATCGGTCTCTTTTCGGCACCCAGGCCAGGTGGTGGGAGGGGAGAGGGAGGCAGCCCAGAACACCACGAGGCCCCGATTCGCAGAACTGTATTGCATCGTTAAAGGCACTTTCCCCCACAACACTCTCTGCTGCTTTCCGTTCCATGAACTCACCAAAACGAGGACGTCTGGCTCCCTGCAAGCCAGTTCAGCAAATACCACACGGGCTTTCTGTCCCCCTGGAGAAGTAAACAAACAAGCAAGCGAGAGTAAGAACAGATGATGAAATTGCTGAAGGAAATCCTCCCTGCAAAGTTGGTTAGGGAAGAGATCCTATCCTTTCAAAGGGACCAGGGACAATAAACTGTATCCCGACTGCCACCCAGATAAGCTCACACACTATTGTACCACAGAACCCCTGATGAGCTTTGCAAACTGCTCATCTTCATCCTGGCGTTACTCTGCCACTATACGAATCAAGAAGGGAGATGTTCGTTTTGTACAAAGCACACTTTGCAGTCCAAGAATACAACACACAAACACACAATCCTGTTGTTCCACAGATACATCAGGCACTTCTGAACCCTCACAGTTCCAAGAAAGGAGCCAGAAAGATCCAAGAACTGGTGGGAGTCTTAGGCATGCACGCGGGAGCCAAAGTTTCCTTAGCTCTGCACAAGCCCTTGGCCTTTGTTAGGTCCCGATGCCTGCCTGCACCATTAAGCTTCCCAGCCATATTCCCTCTCACCTCTAGGAAATTTTCTGCCATCACATCACAGCTGACTTACGGCTACCCCAAAGGGTTTTCAAGGCAAGAGATGAACAGAGGTGGTTTGCCATTGCCTGTTTCTGCCTAGCAACCCTGGACTTCCTTGGGAGTCTCCCATCCAAGGACTAACCAGGGCTGACCCTACTTAGTGTCCTCAGATCGGGCTGGGTCTGTCTCAGCAGTGGCCCCTTGACCCCATCCCAACCCCCGCAGGGGCCCTGTGCCCCTCTTCTCCAGAAGCCAGCCCGCCTCATACCAGAGAGCTTGCAGATCTGGATGGTGTGGGCGTGGCTCTCCAGGCCAAAACGCCCAAGGCACTTGCGCGCATCCTGGTAGGGCAGGTTGAAGTTGCGCTGCAGGTACTCTGTCGCTGTCTCCTGCATGTTCAGCTGATCGGCATACTGCTGGTTGAAGAACCCAATTTTCTACCAGGGGGAAAAAGAAGAGAGGATGTTTTGTCCAAAAGGGGGTGCTTAGCGAGCCCAGGTGACCCTGCTTCCAGGCCTAGAGTGGGGTTGATCCGGCCCCAGGCCGGAAGGCGCTGGTTGGTGGCAAAGGTTTGAAATCGTGACACTGAGGCTCACTGCAATGGAAGTGATTTACTGAATTACAGATGATGGGAAAGGAGAACGGCAGAGCGTAAGGAGGAGGACCTGCTCACCACCCCCAGCCCCCTTCAGCTTTCACAAATTCTGTCCCACCTTCCCCAGAAGACCCTTACGGCGTCGCCAATACTCACTAGTCTGTGGTTTTTTCTCATTTCTCCTCTTGTCTGGAACGATATAAAGGGGGAGGGGGGGAGAAAAGTTAGATCTGTGTTCCATCCGAATTTACGTGTCTGTGCAGATGCAGACAGAGATATGGCTAAAAATGGGTTCCACCCTCTAAGAGGGTCAAGAGGCAGCCTCTTGGGGGAGAGCTCAGTTGGCCATTTGACTGGGAAAATCCCTTGTCCAGCTGCAAGATGCAAAAGGGCTATTTTAGGAGCAACAGTGGAGATTCGGCCTGGCTTCTGCTAGCCTGTCTGTGTTTATTTTTCTTTCTTGTTTCTTTTCTTTTCTTTTAAAGAAAAATGACAAAAGCTTGTGTCGAGGGCTGACTTTCAACAGATCGCAGCGAGGGAGCTGCTCTGCTGCGAACAAAACCCTGACCCAGAATCAAGTCATCTACGAATGATTTAGCACTGGGTTCCCCATGAATGTGCGGGGCGCTAGGGACAAGAGGGTCTGTTGGCTGGAGTACTGGGAAGTGAAGTTGGTGAGAAGGCACACCGGAACTGCCCTGTTTAATTTTCGGTTACTGTGTGTCTCATTATTGGTGATCTCCTGAGCATCAACCCTAAAAACTCACAACGATGTCAGGTAAAGATTGGCACTGTAGGTGAGAAAGGTTTGCCAGCTCCCAGTACTTCAGAGGCTGGACTGAATTTGCCAAGACAACAGGATGGCCTGCAAGCTGTGCAAAGGAAAGCCCGGGCTTCATGTGAGAGCGCACGCTAGGCATCCAAAGTGCACACAGAACCCAGGTTGAGCCACTGGTATTTCCTCTTTAAAAGACCCACCTAAGACTTTGAAGACCCATCGACAGTCTAAGCGGACAATACGAACCTAGATGGATCAATGGTCTGGCTTTGACGGTATCGCACCGGCCTCATACCATTTGTGGCCAGTTTGTAATCTGCACTCACCGCGTGCGACATGTGTGTTTGGTCGGCTAACTTCCCCTTCAAGAAACCCCTGTGTTTTTACATTGAGTTTGGGACGTTATCCACAGAGGTCCTCAGCACTGCTTAAGTGGCAGTGGTCACTCAGGACTGTATTGCTGGGCGTGTATTTAAAAAACCCTTACAAACACAGCGGGAGGAGCTACAGGGAGAAGGCCCAAATGTGAAAAGCAGAATAAGGCTCTCTTACCGGTGGCAGTTTCCCATTTAGCAGCAGCAGCAGCGTACTCTTTCCCACACCGTTGGGGCCCACGATACAGACTGGGGGGGGGGGCAGGAAGAGAAGGGGGAGAGAAAGCATCAACACTTAGACTCTAACACACTGCAGGCAACATATCCTGAAGGCTCCCGCTTCCCTTTCCTCCTTATGTGCAGAACTAAAGGTTTGAGAGCCCACAATGTGGAAGCACAGGTGGGTAGTTTTAACTGTGAAGACCATTGCAGAAAAACGTGTTGTTTCCTTGTGTTTTAACAAAAACGTTACATTCCCCCTGAAGGAATAGGTTCACAGCTTGGGGGTACGGCTCGATCCTGGACTACAGTTGGAGGACCCCATCTCTCCTGTGGCATGTTTTAGCAGCTTCTGCTGATATCCCAGCTACAGCCGTTCCTCAGAGAGCCTGGTCAGGCCACGGGGACCCATGCTTTGATACACCCAGGTTAGATTACTGTAATGCACTTTACATGGGGCTGCCTCTGAAAATGGCAGAGAAGCTTCAGCTGGTCCAAAATGCAGGAGCCGGGCTATTGTCAGCAGCAAGATACAGGGATTGTACCACCCCGGTGCTGAAAGATCTGCACTGGCTGCCCATTTGATTCTAGGAACAATTCAAGTGCAGGTTCTTTAAAGCTCTAAGCAGCTTGGGGCCAGGGGACCTGAAGGACTGTCTCCTCCCATATTGTCCAGCCCTCCAGTTAAGATCGGCCTTACAAGCCCTACTCTCTGTACCCCACTTTCAGAGGTGAGGCAGGTGGCAACCACAGACAGGGCTTTTTCAGTAGTGGCACCTCACTTATGGAAAGCTCTTCCTCTTGAGGCTCGCCTGGCACCAATCTTGCTTTCTTTCAGATGCCAGGCCAAAACATTTCTGTTCACCAAGGCTTTTAACTAAGGGGTTGCTCTTTTTATACTATTTTAGTTTGGAAAAGTTCCAAAATTCTGTGGATAAGAGAGATACACAGTTCACAGCTGTTTAAAAATATACAAACAAGTTGAAACATTAGAAAATACACTAAAAGAGTATAAGTTTTTTTTAAAAACACATGTGAAAGATTATTGTAAGAATATAAGGTGAAATTTGAAAAACAAATTTTGAGGTATTTAAATAGGTAATCTGATGAGGTAATGAAATCCCCTATTATTTAGATACCCAGGTAAATGCTTGTGTATGTATGAAATTACATGGTTTTAGATTTTGAAATGAACTGAAGAATACAACAGAAAAAGTATACAGACATATAGTCTTTCATAGATTATAAAAACTGATATTTAAAAGTTTGCAAAAGATATTTCTAAGAACATAAGGTCGAACATGGAAAACAAATATGGTATTGAAGCATCCAAGCATGTAAACTGATGATGTAATTGAACCCCCCACATTTATGTATTTGTGTATTATGTACTTGTGTGTTTGGTCATTGTGATGTTTGTCTTCATACAATAAAAATCTTTAAAATGAGAAACTTATTTTAGGCTGTCTGTGGTCCCTTTTTGGTCTATGTTTCCAATGCTGGGCTGGGTTTTAATTAATATCTTTTAGTGTTCTGCTTTTATGAGTTTATTTTGTTAAGCCGCCTCTTGCAGGTTCCTGGAGAGGTGGCATAAGAATGTTACAAGCAAATAAGTTAATAAAATTGTAATTTATGGTGGTGGAGGTGGATATAAATAATAAAATATTCAAATGAAAAAAAAATGAACCAGCGCAATGAGGTAGTAATGAGAGTCAGAGTTATCATCACGGGGATCACTCACTTCGAGACTCCATGTCAATTCCGAAGTCCAGATTTTTGAAGAGAGGCTTCTGTCCTTCATAGCTAAAGTCCACACCTGTAAGAAAGAACAAGGAGGAGAAAATGGGAAATAGTGTATGTGTGTGTGTGTGTGGGGGGGGGATCTCACTTTGGAGGTGATATTTCTCTCTCTCTCTCTCTCTCTCTCTCACACACACACACACACACCCCTAACTGCTAAGACCTCTGGTGGCAATGACTGAGAATCTGCCAACCCAGGAGCAGCAGACTGCAGAACTCACAAACAAATAATGACACTGTGGTTCAGTCTTCCAAATCCTTTCAAAAAGACGGCAGAGTCACACTCAAGAAACGCTGCTCCTATCTCTCCAAAGAGATAGCACCAATGCTCTGCACGCATGGGATGGTATATAATGCTATACAAGCACACCTGTGCTTGTGGAAGGAAGCTTTCCTGTCGTCCTCGTCCCCCCGCTTTTGCTCCAATCTACCATGCCCCCTTCCTCCAAAAACGTATGCCAGATCACCCTCAAAAGGTAAAGGACTCTCGTGATTAAGGAAACGGCAGTATGTACAGTGCCCCCTACTGTTAAAACGACTCATTGCCTCAGAGCAACCTTTCCCAAAGTCATCCACTCCGTTCCAGGCCACAGTTCCTCCCCTCCCCCCTCCCCCCTCCCCTGCCCCAACACCAATCCGGAGGAGAGGCAGGCTTCCTACCATGCAGGCCCAGAATGGGCGGGCTGAGAGGTGGTGGGTTCGGAAAGGTAAATTTCACAGTGTACTCCTTAGGCCGCTTCAGTAGCTCGGGGGCTTCGTTGGCCTCTTCATCCGGGTTCTTCTTGCGGCACTTCTGCTGCTTGCGGGTCAAGGCCTCCTTCGTCTGTTTTTCCTGACCAAAGAACAAAGCAAATTAATGTTCTGGACTGAGAAGGCTACCAGACGCCCAGTCTTAGCCACTGTGCCCTTTCACCTCACCAAACAAACATTTCAGGGGATCCACCAAGAGCAAGAGCAGTCAGTAGAATCAATCCATATTTCTACTGTCCCGTAAGAAAACCCTCACTTTTACACCTCTGAGGGCAAGCTGAAGGCCAAGGATCAATTCTCCCTATCGTTATACTGATCATTTCCTGGGAATGAGGCAACCTGAAGAGCGGAATTACAGACATTACGCTCAAGGTACAAGTTCTCTGTGGCAACCCTAAGAGCCCAGACCAGCCCGATCTCATCAGAGCTGGCAAGCTAAGCAGGGTCGGCACCTGGACTGGTGACCATAAAGAAAAGACTGGGGTTGCAATGCAGAGGAAGGCAGTGGCAAACCACCTCTGCTCACCCCTTGACTTGAAAACCACATGAGGTGGAATTTCACCTTTCGGCATGAGTCGGTGACTCAATGGCACACTTTACAAGTTCTCTTTCCTCAAGCAACTGGACTGCCAGGAAGCCCCGCAGAGGAGGACACAATCCTGGCTCCCAGGACCGAATCCAGACCAAAGACTTACTGCCTGCTTGGTGGACTTCCCTCCAGCCTTGAGGTCTTTCAGCTTCTTCTCTTGTTTCTCGTACTGTTTGAGAAGCTCCTTCTGTTTCTGCTGATACATCTTCTTGAAGGTCACTGAAAATGAAACAGGGAAAGGGACAAGCCTTAACAAAAGCACTGGCTTGCTGGAGCCGATCCATCTAGTCTATGCTTCTTTCTCCCGCTGAGGCCAGCCGAACAACCCAGGGAAGACCACATGAAGGAGGCTCCTCTCTATGGTATGGCCTCAGCACGGCCTGGGACTCTGAAGGGTGCTGCCTCTTAACATGGAGATTGCCATATTCACTGTTACAGCTAATGATGGAGACCTATTCTCCATCAACAAGCTTATGAGTGACAAATAGCCAGGAGGGAACCTTTCCTGGAACTTCACCGCAGATTAAAAAGGTGTCCTTAGAGAAATCACTTAACTTAAATAAGATGCTCAGTTGAGCCAAGGCTTGCTGGCATGGCACTCTGGAGTTTCTGGAACGACCAGAGATTTCCTAGAAAAAGTGTTTTGGTGACAGCCACTGTAGTGCGGTGGTTAGAGTGTCAGACTAGTATCTAACAGATCCAGATTCAAATCCCCACTGGGTAACCTTGGGCCAATCATACTCTCACAGCCTAACCGACTTCACAGTGCCATTGTGAGAATAAAACAGCGTAAGGAGAAATATATATGCCACGCTGAGCTTCTCGGGTGAAAGACAAGATAGAAATGAGAAACTTGCATGGCCATGGGAAAGGGGCAGATGACTGTACTCAGTGGTCTACTACTAAGCCTCCACTCCTAGGGCACACACGCCTACAAAACTGGCTCCTAGATCAAGAACAGGAAGACTCAAAACCTCATGATATTTCCCCCATGCACACCTTTTAAAAATACAGGTCTTTGATTGGTGCCTTTCATCAACACAGAATATAAATGGGGGTGCTAGAATTCTGCCCTAATTCCTGCATTTAAAAAATGCATAAAACTTCACAGATTTGGGGGGGGGGGGGAATGTTATGACAATCAGAAGGCTGCCTGACAAAATCTAAAAGCACTTGAAGTCAAATTGCAAAGTGTATTAAAGCCTTGTTATCGCGGCATCTCTGCAAGGCAGGTTAAATTGTACTTCTTCACGGAGTCTTCTCCTGAAAGAATCTTTGCAGTCATAATTTCAGGCTGTTTACTGCCTTTTTAGTTCTACAGTGTTACTATGTTATGTTTTTAAATTAAGATGGGTAGCCAAGTTTGCCTGCAGCAGCAGAAAAGAGCAAGGGCCCAGTAGCACCTTAAAGACCAACAAAATTTTTGGCAGGGGGTATGAGCTTTCGTGAGTCACTCTGCTCACTTTTTCAGATACAGAAGTGCATCTGAAGAAGTGTAGACTAGCGAAGAAGATGTGTAGACTGGATAGATCGGTATCTGAAGAAGAGGACAGTGACTAACAAAAGCTCATACCCTGCCACAAGTTTGTTTTTAAATTGTAAGACACCTTGGGCTATTTAGGAAAGACAGAGCAAAAACCAAATAAAACGCTTGTAATTTCAGAATTCTAAGTTTTGCAAAACTTGGTTGCCTTTCTATACACGAGGTACATGGGCAGAGTTCCCTTCCTGCTGCACTTTCTAAAGGCACGGCACCAGCATTGGCCCAGAGACACATTTGTTTCTGTTCTCGCCGGTTTTCTCTCTTTCTTTCAGCAGTGAGGAATTCCAGAATGCCCTTACTGTAGTTCCCCCGGTAGTAGAAGAGCTTCTGCATGTCCAGGTGGACAATGTCTGTGCACACGTCGTCCAGGAAACCCTGGTCGTGGGAGACTATGAGGAGGGTTTTCTTCCACGTCTGGAGGTAGCTGTAAGGGGGGGGGGAGCAAATACATTTTTTAAAGAAAGCATTAAGGACTTATTTATTTATACTCCACTTTTCTCTCCAAAGGGGACCCAAAGCAGCTTACAATATCACTCTCCCCTCCTCCATTTTGGCTTCACAACAACCACTCTGTGAGGTAAGTTAGCCTGAGAAAGAGAGAGCGACTGGCCCAAGATCATTCAGCAAGCTTCCCTTGTAGAGTGTGGTTTCAAAGCTGGGGCTCCCAGACGCTCATCCAACTGTAACTACCACACCATGCTAGCTCTTACACTGTTCTATGATAACCTCTTTACCTTATTTTAGTTTCAGATGGCGGCCATGTTCGTCTGCAGTAGAACAGCCAGATTCCAGTCTAGTAGCACCTGAGAGACCCACAAGAGCTTCAGGGTATATAGGCTTTGGAGACTCAAAGCTGCCTTCTCCAGCTGGCCAAGGCAGCTTTGACTCTTGAAAACGTATACCCTGAAAATCTCTGAGGTGCTACTGGACTCACATCTAGCCGTTGCCTCATTTGAGTTGCCTACTTTTGATGGAATCATCATGTAATCAGGAAGTCGAAGAAGCAGATGCCGAAGGGGGGAAAAACAGAGGGTCTGGCCAATTATCGGCTCTTACCTTGATCTCATTTCAGGATAAAAGAGGCCGCATATAACCCCGGATCCAGGGTCTCAGGCACACTGGGCAAGTTATTACGTCCTTAATAAAACCCTAAGACTCCCAGCATTAAAAAAAAATGATGTCTCCGGCCCTATCTCACTCCCCTTCATTGGTAGAGTGAGGCCTGAATGTGGAAGGACAGAGGGAAGAGGCAGAAAAAGCACCTTAAGAACATTTCCCACTTATCACGTACTCTTCCAAATGGTACCTATTTCACAGTTTGCTGGTTTATACTAAATGTGCACCTAATGTCTACTACTCTGGCTGGCAAAATCTGCTTCCTTAGTGACAGATTAAGCTGGGTAACCGTGTTAAACTATCTGTAGCAGTAGAGAAGAGCAAGAGACCAGTAGAACCTTAAAGACTAACAAAATAGTATGAGCTTTCCTGAGCCACTGCTCCCTTCTTCAGATCTCACAAAAGCTTATACCCTGTTGCATATTTTGTTAGTCTTTAAGGTGTTACTGGGCTCTTGATGCTTCCTTAGTGAACTGAATTTTGAAATTCCTTAAAAATGCACTGGTTGGCCTTCAGTTCGTTACTCTCTCTCTCAGCCTAACTTCCCTCACAGGATTGGCGAGGGGATAAAATGGAGGGGAAGAGAATGGCATACATCATCCCTGAGCACCTTGGAAGAAGGGCAGAGTGGCAAAATAGCAGAACGGAAGACATTTTTGCCACAACCCACCAGAAATTCATCCCTCCCGCCGGACCTGGCTTCTGGGAATTCACCTCCTTAAGACTGTGGGGGCCTGTCTCAAGGAAGCCTGCAGCCATAGAAACCAATCTGTTCTTTCATGCACTTGACGACCTGGGGGAACTTACTTGTTAAGCCAGATGACGGCATTCAGATCCAAATGGTTGGTGGGCTCGTCCAGCATTAGCAACGTGGGCTCCATGAACAGTGCTCTGAGGGAAAAGAACAGTAAGCGACAGCTGCCCTCATGGTGCCCCCTCTGGAAAGCCAACCTCTTTCTGAGAAACAGGGAAACCAGCGAAATGAAGGCAGGACTGCCAACATTTTGAGGGACGCCACTAATTTAGATTAATGAGCAGGTGTTGCTCTGCTGAAAAGCGATACAGTAGCAATTGACGGGGGCATAGGGGAGAGGAGGCTGTTCCCAACAGAAGGGAGAAGGGCACAAAGGAAAATGCCACACGTGTTGAGGGGGGGGGGAATCAGTGAAAAACACCACAAAAATAATTAGAACGATTCTGATGAGAAACAAAAATGGGAGAGTATAAGTTAAGAAATCACGGAGAGGGGGTGACGCATACTATGGCAGAAGAGACAGTTCAGTTTAGGAGAGGAGTTCTGAACTGAGGAGGGGAGCACATGGGAGAATGGAAGGACATGAGGGGGGGGGCGTTCTGGCAGTCAAAGTCAGGGATGGTCAGTCTGATTAGGAACGCACAAGGCTGCTTTCCATTTATCTCAGATGTTTATACATGACTTCATAGGTCTTATACCAATTCAAGCCATTGGTCCATTTAGATCAGTATTGCCTACCCTGTGGAAACTGGCTCTCCAAGATCTCGGGCAGACGTCCTTCTCAACCTTGTCATTCAAGGACCTTTCTACTGGCAATGTGTTGAATTAAGTACGGCACTCTCCAACTGTCAAGCCTGCACTCCAGCACTGAACTAGGTCCTCCCAAAGAAGTTAAATTTTTTTTAAAAGGTACAAGCTCCCCTCTAAACATTCTAATGCTGTTTTAATTGATTTATTGTATTATTTTAAATGTTCTCTATTGATTTGATGTAAGCCGCCCTGAGCCGGCTCTGGCTGGGAGGGCGGGGTATAAATTTGAAGAAACAAATGAATAAAAGGCCGTGAGGTGCACAGACAGAGAACACCCAACAGACACCCCTCCCTGAGTCAACACCACAGAGGCCTCGGTCCCACTGTGCATATGAGGACCACACAGATCAGGGCAGGGGCTGGATTCTTCCTGTGAGATGCAAGGTGGCCATCACTGGTCTGAATAAGAGTTGACCTCACACACACACGCACGGAGAGCAATGGGTATGTGCATATACTCCTTTACCGGGATGGCCCAGGCTAGCCTGATCTTATCACCTCTCAGAAGATTAGCAGGCTCAGCCCTGGTTAGTATTTGGATAGCAGATCACCAAGGAAGTCTGGGGTCGCTATACAGAGGCAGGCAATGGCAAACCACCTCTGAAGGTCTCTTGCCTGGAACATCTTATGGGGTTGCCATAAGTCAGCTATGACTTGATGGCACTTTCCCACCACCATGTGTATATACATTTGTCTACTGGCTAAAGCATTCCGTGCACCTTGGTGTTTAGTCTTGCCGGCCACATGACCACGGAAACGTCTTCGGACAGCGCTGGCTCTTCGGCTTTGAAACGGAGATGAGCACCGCAACCCTAGAGTTGGACTCGACTGGCTTTCGAGCAAGGGAACCTTTACCTTTGACCTTTACTGGCCAAAGCAGGTAAGGAAGAGGAACAGGACTGATAAGATCTGGAAGGGGGAGGAAGTTAAGTGACTCTTTCTCTGTGGATCGAGGGAAGAAGGGGTCCTCCTCACATCGGAAAGGATTAACACAGTTTACAGAAATGGCCTGTGGTGCAAGTGGGAGGAATAATCCTCCTCCATTTGCGGAGGAGATCACGATTACTGAAATAAAGAGGAGAAGGGATGGAGAAAGCCATTCCCGAGTGTTAGACAGAGCGTCAGCCTGAGCTTCCCTCATCTGAAGCAAGAGAAGTCTGGTAGTTATGGGCAATACATCCCTCTACCAGGAACCAGGAGATTTCAATCAAACTGGCGCCATCCCTTCAACCTCTCAGGAGACACTGTCTTTCAAAGAAGAGAAACAAACCCAGACAGGTTTCTGAGGGGCCAGGGTTATTTGCAAGTCTGGCTCTAAACAGACAGACGTTTGGGAAAAGGCATGAAGAGGAACAGCACACACTTGGCTGATAAGAGCAACATTCCATCACACATAATGGTCATCCATCTCCCTTCATCTAAAAGAGAAACCGCACTCAAGGTGTGCATTAAAGTCCTGGTTTTTGGGGTGGGGGGGCTTGAAAACAAATCTGCTTGTGGCAGAAGACAGTCTAAAGCTAGTGCATGCAACTTTCCAAGCCTGTGTGCATGCGCCGTTAAGTCTTAGCCAATTTATGGCGACCCTGTAGGGCAGGGGTCCTCAAACTTTTTAAACAGGGGGCCAGTTCACTGTCCCTCAGACCGTTGGAGGGCCGGACTATAGTTTTTAAAAAAACTATGAACAAATTCCTATGCACACTGCACATATCTTATTTTGAAGCAAAAAAACAAAACGGGAACAAATACAATATTTAAAATGAAGAACAAGTAAAGTTAAATCAACAAATTTACCAGTATTTCAATGGGAACTATGGGCCTGCTTTTGGCTAATGAGATGGTCAATGTCCGGTTCCATATTTGTCACTGCTAGTCATAACAAGTGATGCAAGTGTGCATCAGTTAGTCTAGATCTGGTTGGAGATTTCAGATGTTTCATTCTGGAAAAAGTCTGTTCACAGACATAAGTGCTTCCAAAGATGGTTGCCATTTTGAGTGCACGGTTCCTGAGATTAGGATATGTCTCAGAGGGGAGAGATGCATAGAAATTAGGAAGGCTGCTTGACTTGAATGCTTCTTTCAGAGAGTCACAATTCTGCAGTTCAGCCAGTTCCATTTGGTAAATTGTATCCACATTTTCAATGTCAATAGAAAATGGGTTACAGAAAAGCTGTATGTCCTGTTCATGAAGATGAAGCGCACACAAAACAAAAATTCCCCCTCTGCAAGCGCTACTTTGTGGCTTGCAAAAGAGGGGAGGGGGTCCGCTGGAAAC